TGTCCTTCCCCGCCGGGCAGAAGAGAACGAGGCTCTCCCGGGCTCGGTCCGAAAGCCCTGCGGAGAGGAGTTTCGTTCCCCCAAAGGTGCGGCTAAGCTGCTCTCCCAGGAGGAAGTGGCCGCCCTCTTCCTGGCAGCCTCCAGTATCGGTCGCGTGCGACCAGCTCGGGCTGGACCTGAGCACAGAGTGCAAACATGGGGGTCTTCCCGTTCGGCTTGTCACAAGCGCTCACCCCAGCCTTTGCTGCTAGCTCAGCAGCCCCAGCTGCTTTGGGGATCTGGTGTAGCCGCAGTGCTTCTGTACCTGCTAGGCACTTGCTTGTATGGAGAAGAGGAGCTCACCTCCATGTCCACGTGCGACCAGCTCGGGCTGGACCTGAGCACAGAGTGCAAACATGGGGGTCTTCCCGTTCGGCTTGTCACAAGCGCTCACCCCAGCCTTTGCTGCTAGCTCAGCAGCCCCAGCTGCTTTGGGGATCTGGTGTAGCCGCAGTGCTTCTGTACCTGCTAGGCACTTGCTTGTATGGAGAAGAGGAGCTCACCTCCATGTCCACAGGCGGCCTTCAGCGAGCAGAGTCCTTTTTGCCAAGCTTTGCAGGTTACTTGACAGCTTCTGATCTCCTATAGGAAATACAATGATCATTTTGCTTCTTGGATGCTGATGGTTTAGCTTTAAATACCAAAGTTCAGTTTTTCACAGTGAACCAGTAAAAAGAAGGAAAAAAACCCCCAACAACCAAAATGGAGGTATGCTTGTTGATTGTGTGGCTTCACAGACACATTCCTGCACAATGTTCTAGCTAAAACTTGGCTTCACTGGCTCTGAAGGTTAGTGTCTTCAGTGCAAAGTCATAGGCCTGAGGTAGCGGAAACTTACTAGATTGGTAGTATCCAGATGTTCTTTCCAAACAGGATAAGAAGGAGAGCAGCAGGCAGTGGAGTATTGCAGTCTAAGTTTAGGAACCGGTCTTAATTTCACAACTTTTCAGTTTTCTTGGAGGAGGTTAGTATGAAACATCAGATGTGCAGAGATATCCAACTGTCCTCCAGTGGGAGCGGTAGGTTTTTAACCTCTTTTTAAAAATTAGGAACTTACCATTCAACTCTGACTCTTTCGCAGAACAGAGGTAATGAGAAAGGATCCCTTTAATAAAAGAGCTTTGGTTTCTGGAAGTGAAAAGCATGTAGTGATTCTGACTATTTTATTCTCCCATGAGAGATGCTGCTGTAGGAAACCCGTGGAAAATCTGTTCTGTTTTCATGAGCCTCAACAGGTCAGAATTTATATGGGAATTCATTTGATCACCAATGAGATCAAGGTTTTGCCAGTCTTGAGAGTTTGACTTTTGGATTGGGTTCATGCGATTTCCTGCAGAAAGATCCTGCGGGTCAGCTAGTTCACAATGAAAGCTGAAACAAAATGTATTGAACTACAGTGTAGTTGAATAAGAGCCACTGTAACTACCTGTCCCCAGTCTTCACTTTGTCTTGCCTACAGTATTGTAAAAATTAGAGATCCTTGGTTTTGCTAGCAGTTTGCACAGCTGCTGGTATTTCTGCATTTAAGTGCATGTGTGTGTATTTTATTTTTCAGAAAAGCCCTGAACTCAGTGTAGCCTGGTCCTCTGCATTTGTGTGGTATTTTTAAGGCAAATGAGTTCTCTCTGCTTGTCTTTGAGTTCGCTGACCAGGAGTCCATTTGAAACCAGAAACGGAGCAAGTACTGCACTGACAACGTCCTACTGCAGAATTGCTTGCTGAGGCAGCGTTGCACCTCTGCAGCATGTTTTCCACCAGGTGGAAACTGGCTGAGCTTGTACGTGCCTGGAATGTACTGTGGAGGTGCAGCCTGAGAGGACACTGAAAGAATGATGCTTTCAGTTGTGATCCAGATGTTACTACATAGTCCTTTGTTTCGTTGCTCTCATCCCGAAAACATCGAGTAGAGGGAAAGTCTTTGAATTTGCAATAAAAATCAGGTGCTGGATCATGGTGACCCTTTCAATTGGTACCTTCCATGCCTCCCTCTTTCTTTCCCTGCTTTCCTGCTGTTGTGCTCCCTGGTTAAGAAGCAGCTAGCATAGCAGTGCAATCACTGCCCTGTTCTCCAGGCTATACTCCAGACAGGGCATCCCACACTTGCTCTGCACTGTTTGTATTGCCTTATCGAAGGCCACTGGTGATAACTTTGCTATTGTTAATGACAGGCACAACTTACTATATTATCAAAGTTTAAATAAGATAGAGATGCCTCTGGAGTGTAGCTAAAATAAAGCATAGCTTATGAGAAACTTTGTAAAACCTTCCTCAGTGGGTGCGGCTACTTGGAAAGAAAATGCTGTGGAGGTAGTTATAGATGAGTTCTAAACATACAAAATAGCTGCATTAAAAAGGAAAAAAAGGGTAATCAGTGTGTGCTGATTAAGTTAAACTATGGTGCTACAGCTCAAAAGTTGTATTGTCTTAATCCTAGTCACTACTAGATAACATTCTAATGACTGTCTTAGCAAGGCCTTGATAAAATTAATTTGGTATTTATACGAATGGATGGTGCTGCAGAACTTTTCTGTTTAGGAGAGCAAGGCAAGGCAGTCCCATCCTGTGTGCTTCTGGGCCAAACGAATTCTCTCTCCCAGCTTTGAGGAACAGTTTTCCCCATGCAGAAGGAGAGCAGCAAGTGATGGCTACATAATAGCTACTGATAGTTGTTTTGGAGATAAGAATTCGGTCCATAAGGCAGGCCAGTGCAGCTGGCACAAGATGCCTACTGTCAGGGAAAAATGAAGCTCACCTTCTAGCTGGGATCTGTAACTCTGGATGGCTTCACCAGAGGGGCTGATGAGGTCCATAGGTGCAGGTCCTGGATGAGGCTGAGGGAGATGTACTTCAGTTGTTGGTCTGGTGTAGAGTGAAAGTTGTGATGTGAGGTCTATTCCTGCTC